ACTCTCGATCGACTCTCGACTTTTTACTCTCGACTTTTTACTCTCGACTCTCGACTTTTTACTCTCGACTCTCGACTTTTACTCTCGACTCTCGACTTTTACTCTCGACTCTCGACCTTTACTCTCGACTCTCGACCCTCGACTTTTAGATACACTCAACATTGTGCCCCTCATAAAAACTAAGCCCGTTAGCGACATTTGTAAGCAGTTACGACCAATTTCACTTACTGCCGCTATTTCGAAAATCGCTGAGGACTGTGTTGTTAACTGAATACATTGCTCCAGCTATCATGAGTATAATCGATCCAAGTCAATATGGAGTAATACCAAGAAGTTCAACTACTCTCGCTGTTATATCTAATGATCCATGAATGGTCGCAAGCTACTGATGGCACTGGCTCTGCTGTCAGAGTCATCCTGTTCGATTATAGAAAAGCATTCGACCTTATCGATGTCAATTTCCCGTTTGTAATACAAAATGACTGAAAAACGGCAAACTTCGCAAGGCTATATTATCCGCATTTTACAAGATTTTGCAACAAAACTTTGGAATATTACTAATTTTGTGATGCTCTTTCAAGCTGTGATGAAATTTTTGTCTAGATCGAAATTTTAGTTATAAGGGGAAAGGTCCATTAATAAGCATGTTTTTGTTTTAGAAATTGATGTTCAAATTCCCCGCCATATTTTCATAATTGGTGCATGCGCAGACGTTTTTCCGCGGTGTTCTTGGATAGTGAACCAGCTAGACGTGTGTGGTAAAAGCTCTGCTAGCGCATGCGTCACTCATGCAATGAACTATAACATGCATTAGCCTTGGCGCACTCTAATTATTTGCGCCAGATAATATTAATGCGCATTTAAACACTTGAGCTGCAATCTTTCGGACGACGCGCACTTTGCCGCATCTATTCTAGGTTACCAAGAGAGGAAAATTTCAACATTGAAGCAAGGCGCTTTAGCTTGGCTACCCCTCCCCCCACCCCTCCGTTTCCCCCAGAAAATTCAGTGAAAATGGTAACACGAGCGAAAATCATGGGAACGAGGTCACGGGTGCGTGGATTTTACCGCAATACTTCTACGGTGGAACTCCTGGCAGTCTGCACAACGCGGTAGACATCTATCCAACAAACAGAATCACCCATAAGAAATTATTTTCAAACGCACTATAACATGCATGCATGAGTAAATATATAAGCTCCAGACTAAGATTGATCTAAAAGCCTTAAATTTAAACCGAATTTTAAATGAACATATATGATTGTATACTCAACTGACTGAGAAATTTTTGAGAAGCTAAATTTAAAGACTTTCCATAATTTATCTGACTAAAATTCTGCTCGTCTCATGCAAATCTTGTTATGGAGGTTATGTTTTCATCAGCGTTTGTATGTCAGTGTGTCCATGTGTTTGTGTGTCTGTTAGCAAGATAACTTATAAAATACCAAACATATTAACACGAAAATTTGTGTGACTAATGGACATTGCGCAAAGATGAATTGATCAAGTTTGTCCCGAGTCTTCGCGGGTGCCCTCTAGTTCCATTTATTGTTCAGTACAGAAGTATGTTTCTGTGGATTTGAAAGTAATTTTTTATTTTTCACAACAATTCAGGATATTGAACCAGCTATTTGACAGCTATGTGTGTGTGGTAAAAGCTCTCCTAGCGCATGTTTACCCATGCAATGAACTATAACATGCATTAGCCTTGGCGCACTGTAATTATTTGCGCCAGATAATATTAATGCGCATTTAAACACTTGAACTGCAATCTTGCGGACGACACGCACTTCGCCATCTATTCTAGGTTACTAATAGAGGAAAATTTCAACCTTGCAGCAAAGCGCTTCAAACTTTGCTACCCCCTCTCCTCCCCACAGATAATGCAGTGGTAACACGAGTGGAATCATGGGAGCGACGTCACGGGAGGATTCCACCCCAATACTTCTACGGTAGAACTTCTGGCAGTCTGCACAACGAGGTAGACCTCCCGATCCAACAAACAGAATCACTCATCAGAATTACTGAAGTGCAACAATTTTTGAGCAAATTACACTCTTCCTGCACATGAAAGATGTCGAAGCCTGTGGTATTTTTCGGCTAGTCTCTGGCGAGTTTGTTTGCCTCCCTTGGAATCTGAACAGTTCTTAAATCCTTCCCTGTCATAAATTTGTCCAACTACGTTATGAAAAGGAGGTGGGCTTAAATTCAGCCTTCACAATAAACTCAACCAAATTAAACTAACTTTATTTATACTGGATAGCTAGATCTGCCATCTTTACACTGTCTTGTTCATCAGTAGCCTTATAAATTCGCGGGAACTCACCGATCCAAATCTCGGGATTTCGAGTCATTGCATGAATAAACACAATCATATTAGTTCAACACAGAAGAAAGTATAGGGTATGACCGCGCCACGAACTCGCGCGTCTGAGTTGGAACCTGGTGACGAGGCTAAAGTGTGACACAATGCAATCTCGTACCCAGAGCCATTGGCTCTGGGTACGGGATTGGACACAATGTAAAACCGGTACAGTTCCTTGAGAATTTAACGAAATTGTGTGAAACTAGAATTATATATAATGGGTCACTCGGTCAAAGTTGCGGAGTAACTCCAGATGAAGGGCCTTCGCTTGAAACGTCGAAATTCTCCTTATATTTTTCAGGTAGTTGCATTCCTACCAAGGAAAGCTTGTTAATGAGTAGATATTGCTGCCCAGGCCCCTGGCACATTTTAGTAGTTCATTGTAAACCTGAATATTAGGCGGTCAATATATTGAAACTTATACATATATTTCGATCTATTCCTAATTTGATAACCGATTTTCGAAGGGGGAAAAAAATTAACATTGCGATGCACTTGAACAAATCCGAATAATTAAATCTGATCACCTGTATTCAGCCATGTTCCTTATCCTTTGACAGTTTTAAGTTCTATTTATCTACACTATTATGCCTACTGGAAAGGTAATTGACATTTTGCGGAAGTTCGAAATGATATTTGCTTTATCTGTCTTTTGTAGCAAGGAATATATGTCCATTATCATATATAGTCTCATTTTTGAAGAAAAATCCGACCAAACTGTAGCATGCACGTGCAGTTAAATTATTAATTGAGAAATCTTCCGGACGACGTAATTGCGACATATTCTACGGGATCAAATCAATTCATGGATTCCATGCAGGCCACATATGCTATATAGAGGAAAATTTTAACCGTGCAGCAAGGCTCTTTACCTTTGCTACTCCCGCACGAGGTCATGGGAAAATTTTACCTCGAAGGTTCTATAGTGGAACTTCTACCGGCCAATGGTAACTCGGCATACATCCGAACATATCGTCATTTGTTAACTTTTCAAGTAATTTTAGTAAATTTAGCAAAATTTTTGCTATAACAATTACTTTTTATTCCGAGCCATTCAAATACTTTCGCTGACTACGGCTACGAAAACAATTGGCCGATAAATCCGAAAACAACTTGCCAAGTCTAGCAAACATTTAATTTGCCGAAAGTGTGATGAATGGGGGGGGGGGGGTGTGTTACACCACCCCACCTCACACACGCCCCTCTGGCCACGCCTCCGTGTATAATTCGTTAATCTGCGCGCAGTGGCCAAAGTTGGATACATAGTAACCTGCGTTGTTTTTCCCCCGCTCCTCCCCCCTCTCATAAAACGCCGGCAACGCAGGCTAGATACATAGACGTTCCAGTTGATCATTGCATTTCAGTTCGTGATTAATCAATGTTTGTAAATCTGATAAAGATTTGCCCTGATTTACATAAACTTCATCCGGTCGTTGCATCCGATTTGTATCTGATATACAAACTCTCGCCTTCGGCTCCAGTTTGTATATCAGAACAGATCGGCTGCTCATGTTTTATCTAGTACTATATAGACAGAATGATGTATAAAGGGAATAAATAATTATAGTTATATCTGAGTAAATAAGGATGAGATTGTTCTAAAGCCCTTTTAAACCAAATTTTAAATGAGCATTTAATTTCATGATCAATCGATTCCCACTGAGATTTTGGCAATTGATTCCTCTTGTTTCATTTATTGTTCAATATATATACTGACGAGTAGATACTTCTATGGACTTAAAAGTAATCTTTGTTTTTCGTAATAATTGTATATTGGATATAGAAACAGCTGGGCGTGTATGGTAAACAATCTAGCGCATGCGTTTACCCATGCAATGAACTATAACTGTTTAACATTCATTATTAATCTTGGCGCACTCGAATTATTTGCGCCGGATAATATTAATGGCAATAGCGGAAAACCAATGCTATAAAACCGCGAACCGCCAAAGACATCGAAACGTGCAGTTTTCAGTGCGAAAACCGCGAAACCGATCAAAAATACAGCAATACCGATTTATAGCGTGTTAGGGGGGAGCGTCGGTAAATAGTTTGGCTTGCGAGGTTAAAATTTTCCTTGGCTTGAAACACAATGGGCGGATTATAAAGACTATTAGTTTCCTGGCAGGCAAAGTAAACATTACGGACGTCAAAGGAAAGATATATAATTAAGGGATTCCTTGCTACAAAGGACGGATTAAGGAACATTCCTTACTACAAAAAACAGATAAAGAAATATAATTTCGAACTTGCCCAAAATGTCAACGTAAAAATCAATTGAGATAATCGAACTTATTTTTCACCCTGCTCGGTTTCTTTTGTTCTTATCGGGGAATATATTCAATATTCCCCTCTAATCAATTTCCGTTTAATAATCCCCTCTAATATTCACCTGCAATTGATAATCCCCTCTAATATTCACCTGCAATGTCTTTGCAGCACAAAAAATGAGAGAAAAAACAACATAACGAAGGCAATATTGCATTAAGAATTATTTCTATTCTGACTCATTAACGCGACCTCGCAGTGTGAAAAATAAGTACGTTATTTTGAGGCACCTCGGGGATATTTGTTTATTCACCTCGGCGCTGCGCGCGCCTCGGTGAATAAATCACATATCCCCTCGTTGCCTCAAAATAACCTATACAAATCTGACCACCTATTATGTTGCTTATCCAACATGAAACATAATAGTATAGATAAATTGTACTTAAAACTGTCAAAGTTGGATAAGCAACATAATAGGTGGTCAGATTTGTTCGATTATCTTAATTGATTTTTACGTTTTTTTCAGCAGTCATACAGTATTATACAGAAGCGCGAGTCTGAAACCTAAAATTTTGGAGTGTCTGATATTCAAGCTACAATAATGTGGGTTTACATCTTCCTAGACTACACCACAGCAACGCGGGCAGATGTGGGTCACGAAATCTGTTGTCCAAATCCGATGGACCCTTTCCTTTTCCTTTAATTTGCGAGTGAATAACTGAATGAGATCACGCCAATGTCTCATTGTCTATGAACGTTATCAACAGGGCCGTAGCTAGACACGATAATTGGGGGGGATTCAGAGGGGCATGTTCACATACCGTAAAAACAATATCGCTTTCGAAATTGGAAATCCGTCGGGCAGAACACAAATATATGAATAACCCCCCCCCCCAATTATCGGTTTAGCTACAGCCCTCGTTATCAATAGACCTATATATCTCAAAATTCGAAAACTTATAGGTTTTACCGCACATCCGGTTTTGAAAAAACGCGAGTTTTGATGAAGATACTACAAGTTGTTTTATTTGACACTTGGTGAGTTGCAATAAAATACGTTTTTGTGAATTCTACATTAGAAATTAGGCCAAGTGTGACAAACTAAGGCCACGGCCAAACGTCGAACTTCTCATGTGCTGAACCTAATGCAAATGAAGTGAAACAATTAAGAACTTAAGCCCCGTTTACACTACGCTCAATTTTTGGTACGGCACGGATAAAATTGGTATACCCGTACCACTTTTTTGGTTCTTGGACTACCTATTTAGGTAGTCCAAGAACCAAAAATTTAAAAGTGGTACGGTACCAAAAATTGAGCGTAGTGTGAACAGGGCTTTAGCTCATTAACATTATAGGTTCGGTCCATGAAAAGTTCGACGTTTGACCCTGGCCTTATTTTAACACTTCGTGGAGCAAAACTTTAATTGGAATGCCCTACCATCCGAGCTTAAAAAATGTGGCATCGTTCGGGTCGCATGTTTAATTCCTGCTAGAGGACCTAAAGTTGCAGCACTATAGCCTGCATGTCACTACATGCATCCTTCTTGTTTATATTTGTAATATATTAATATTTGCATATATTTTAATTATGTCTAAACAATTCTGTGCCAGTAAATTTTATAGAAATTATACCTTTAAAAGTTTGGAAATTCAATGAAAACTCAATTTGCAAAGTTTTGGTAATCGTTCCATGTTTCACGCACCAATATAGTAAACGTTATGTAATGGATATTATAGTGTACTGAAGAGCTAACTGCATACCTCCATACACATATATACACCCTATATAACCCAACCCCTAACCCTAATACCTAACCCCTAACCTTAACCTGTATTGGTGCGCGAAACATGGAACGCCGTAACCAAAGTTTTGTACATTTCGAGTAGGAAATGTGCAAAAGAGTACGAAAGTTTTCTGGCAAAAGTGTGCAAATTTTCTGGTAAACATGGAAAACCAAAGTATGGACTGAATGGTTCGAATCAGTTCCAGTACGAGTGCGAAAGACGGCTGGTATTCAATTTGCGCAAAACTGATGCTATATAAAACCGCGAACCGCCAACTATAGACATCAAAATCGAAAAGTGCCGAGTTTTCAGTGCGAAAACCGACCCATAATATACCGCAATGCCGATTTATAGCGTATACATGTTCAGGGGGGAGTCCCGGTAACCAGCTTGGCTTGCTACGGTGAAATTTTTCCTTAAGGCTAAGCTTGAAGCACAATAAGCGGATTGGTGTCATATAATACTAGGTAAAGTAAATTTGCTCAGACGCAATATGCGTGAATGCTGTTCAAATGTTTTCGTTGTGCATCGCGGCTCCGGCGCAATGTGCGTAAAAGTGCGCCACAAAGATGCGCAAAGGTCGTCGGTAGGAATTTTCCTCAAACTGCGCGCAGAACGAGATTATATAAAGAAGCCCACTTCGCCAGCCTTGTTCAGTTCACTCTATTTCGCTGCTGAAGGGACGTCAAGAAGACTAAACCAGGTATGATGATAGAATATCTTCATTGCTTTTCATGGCATTTTTTAGTGTAAATTTTATATAACGTTTTCCCTTGCATACTTTCAGGTTAATTTCCCAGAGATTTTCTTACTACATCTCTTGCTGTTGGACTGAGATAACGCCCAAAACAGGTATGGTTTATATTTTCGAGTTTTATTGCAATATCTTGTATGTTGATGCTGTTAAACTTTCCTCTCGGATTTTTTCGTGTTTTTGTTGATACAATTTCTTCGTCTTATTTATCAAACTTGCAATCCAAGCTGCAATCTTTAATCGGATTTTATTCTCAGCTGTTCGAGTTAGCCACCGCATGACTGTTGTAGTGTTCTGGCTGCTGTTGTCCAATGCTTTCTTTTGCTGGGAACCACCATGTCTTTTTATTTGGCAAAACGTACTAACCATATAACTAAAGGTCCATATTTCCGTATTTTTTGCGCGCGTGTTTATGGCCACGCCAAAGCATTAAAAAGAATTGTATTTCCTTGTTCCCTTTCCCGCAATCTAGTCTTATTTTTATCTTTCTTCGTAATTCTTTATTTTGTAAATACTTTATTCTATATTTCACGCACCTCATGGAAACCAGCCTCCTAAAATGAAGGGTTGTTGAGGCTAGCGCGGTTGATGGTACAGTTTAGTTAAATTTTTCCTCAAAAATGAGATTATATAAAAAAGCACGGAGTTATTATATCGCAGCAATTTTTAGGTACTAGTTAAAACATGAGCAGCCGACGTGCTTAAAAAACGACCAATCTTATGAGTTCATTGGCGAAGTAATTTTACTAAAATAAACATTGTCTAAGCCAAGAAAATCAAAGCCGAAGTTTATGTAAATCAGGGCAATCTTTATCCGATTTACAAACATTGATTAAACATTAGAACTAGACTCAGTTCCAAAATATCACATACTCGAACTGACCTGACCGCGTAGCTCAGTTGGCAGAGCATTGGGCTAGTATTCCAAAAGTCGTAGGCTCGATTCCCACCGTGGTCAGGCATATTTTTCAAGCTTGCCCGGTGTGGATATACACTCAGAGTAACATCACAAGCATCTTAGGAAGCATTCATTTTTTAGCTGCGGGGGTGGGCCGGAGGAACTGATGTTTAATTCCATCCTAAAACTTGGAACCCCCAAGAGAAAAGTTGATAAAAAATTATGACCCCCTATTTTTTTTACTGAAAACTTTTTTGACCCCTCGTCTTAACTATTAATAATCCACACGGTGTCGTTTCCGTAGCATTTCAGGGCCGTAGGAAGCTTTTTTTTATTTGGGGGCTGAAAGCGAGGGCCGAAGGCCCGAGGAAATTTTTAAATCTAGAGTCTCTGAAATGCCATTTCCTGGCCTATGGGGGAAGATTTGACAGAATTCTGATGGTCAGAAAACAGCGTTTTAGTATGTCGAAATTGACAATTTGGTAGTACTAAATGGGCGAACACGTATTTAATTAACTATATATTGGATAACTAGGATAAGTTGCAGGAAACTGTGGGTACTATCTTCATTCTTTGCAGTTTGTCATGGATAATGTAGCTGCTTAAAAGTAATAAAGCTTAAAATTGATAAAGGTCATGATGAAATGCATGCAGACCTTGAAACCATGCATGATTTTGAAATCATGCTACGGTCCTGCGTTTTCTTTCATTCATGTTTTCACACAAAAACGGATAAAAACGAGGTCAATTGACGAAAGTCATGGAAAGTTTTTCCTTTGGACTGTGTGAACAGAGCGTCAAACGAATTTTGCTTCTTTGTTAAAGATGACGAGATAGTTGATAGTTTCTAGACCTTTTTACCATTCTTCATCCAAATATTTCCAAATTCTATAAAATTATATTGGTGACTTTTTCACTGATTATTTTTATGACCCCCTCCATTTATACCAAAACTATAAAAAGACCCACCCCTTTGAAGCATGTCAAAATTTGCTGACCCACCCCCAAATTCCTCCGGCCCACCCCCCCAGCTAAAAAATGAATGCTCCCTTATTCACCTGAGTACATTACACCAACGCAGAAAATATCATTAATTTCTTTTGTATTTTCCTCGTGAATTATTAATGATTTTTTAAATATATTATAATAATAACATTTCTCTGGGATTATTTCAGGTTGATTTTTTCAGACTATTTCTTTTGCTGTTCGAGACAGGTATGATAACAATCATAATGTTTATTTATCTCATCGTGATATTTTAGGGTTAGGATAAAACGCGGATACGGACGGACGGATGGATGGCGGACGGACGGATGAGTGGCGGACAGACGGATGGCTTTCAAAAACGTTTTTCAGCCTTTTTCAGGATAAAACATCCGTCCGTCCGTATCCGCGTTTTACCTTAACCCGATATTTTATTTAAACTCGACTAAAACGTTTTCTTGAACGTGTCCAATTTTCAGATTTTTACAGACTATATACACCTCTTTCTGTTGGACTGAGATAAAGATCAATCATGAAAGCAGGTCAGTGGTTTTTGTTCTCTAATTTCATTGCAAAATATTTTACAAGTTGTATGAAAGCTTTCTCTTGGACCGTTTCCGTAACACATTTGAAGCATCTTTGCCGTATTCGTAAAACTTGTTCATGCAGGTTTACAATGCCCTAGATTTAGTTTCTTGGTGCTAATATAATTAGATGTGCGCTCAGCTGTACAACTATGTTCGCGGTTATT